TCTATGTTATTAATAGCTATGTGTACATAGTAAGCTATATTGCCTATTAGTGTAGTACACATCTTAGAATTTATTTATAAATGCATTGTTCTGTTAATTAATTATAACCTAAAGTGCTAAATAAAGGTTACTATACAGTGCCTTATATATAGGCTTAATTAAGAACATTACTTGTTTAAGTTTAAGTTACTTTTAGTATACTTATATAATAGTAGTATAAAGTAGTATCTTGCTTTAAAATTATAGACTAAAAGCTTTTTATATAAAAGTAAGTTTATTAATTATAGCTTTAAAAGTGTTATATAAAGTTTTTATAAAGTTTTTTTACTTACTTTATGTAAAGCTTATTATTGTTTAATCTATCTAATACTAGTTATAATTTATATTAGTATTAAAGTAATTACTAAGCTACTTATATAGTAACTTCTATAATTATTCTAAACTAATATTATAAAAGTAGAACATATGTGCGCGCCCTTTAAAAATATTAGAAAAGATGCTTATGTATAATGCCTTAAAGATAGTAAGGCGTTAGCAGAGCTTAATAAATACTATAGCCTTATTAGCTAAGATATTATATAGTTACTTTATATAGTTATTCTTTTTTCTTTATGCTTTCTAGAATTATATAACCTTCTTAGGTGTAAGGTTCTCTACTGTAATATCTTATATAGGTAAAAGTTAGTATAAATTATATAGTAATTAAATTATATGCAGTAGGTACAAGCTTTAAGAAATCTTATGCAGAGCTATAGCTATAGGAATATGTAGCTGCCTAGTTATACTCTTATACAGTAAGCTATTACAAAGTAGTTATACTAATTATAAAGAAAGTATTAAGTCTATAAGTAATTTATATAAAGACATCTTCTATTGCGTTAAGACTAGTAATAGTAGTAATAGTTTTATATAATGCTCTAGTAGAATAGTAAACATGTGTTTTTCTTTTATAAGTCTATATAGTGTAGTAGCCTCTATTATGTTCTTCTTAAAGCTAATGCTTTTATTTTATAGAGTAGTAATTAGTTTTTATAAAAATAGTTAGCTAAGATTTTTAAAGTGTATAAGCTTTTACTTTATAAAGTTATTCTAAAAGTTCTTAAGTGTACATATATCTATTGCGCTTAATGTGCAGAGTTCTATAATTAAGTTAGCTATGTATAAATTAAGCTTTTTTTTAAGTGTGTTATTTAATAGTTTAATTTTATCTACCTAATTTTTAATATTTATTTACTTTACTAAGGTCTTTACTAAGATGCCTATAAAAGGTATGTATTAGTTATATGTTAATATGTTATGTTAGCTAGTTATAGATAGAGCTAGTGTTGCTTGTTGCTCTATAGTAGTTAATTATGCGTTGTTGCGCGCTGTCTTACTTCTTGTTGTACGCTACCTTTAAACAGCCTTATGTAAAAAAATAAAACAGACCTTTTAGCATTAAACAAGCACTACTATTTATATAATACCTTTAAATAGTATTGTATAGACAAGTTTCTTGCTCTTACTTAGGTAACTAAACAGAGATTTATAGCTACTTATATGTAAATTAGACTCTATCTTTACTCTTACTAATTTATAGTTAAAGTAGTAAGGAAAAGAATTCTTTTTATACACAAACTTTTAAATAAAAAGGTATAAAAAAAGCTTTCTTTTTTACAGTATTTAAACTACTAATTAGTGTTAAATAAACTCTCTGCTAGCTAGCACTTAGTGTTAGCAAATGCGTACAAGACAGAGAGGTTTGCACAGTGTAAACATTGCACAAGGGTGTTAGGTAACTAGTGTTAATTGCTTCTTGTTTTTCCTCTGTATAGAGGAAAAAGGGGATATCTAGATGTTCGCGCACAGAGGTTCGCGCACGAGCATCATGTGACATAGATACGTGATCCTGCTCGTGCGTGATCGCTCGTATCCAGGCCGCGACGCTGCTGCTGCGTACGGACATAAAGTATATATTTAAAAACTATTACTTAGCATTTACTATAGTAGTGTCTTTTGCTAGCGCACCTAGCATAAACCTGCAGCCTTGTGCATGTAAATGCCTTATGCTCTAGCTATTAGCATTAGTAGCACTATAATAGTCTATTTTACAGTTTAAACAGTCTTATGTATGTAGATTTTCTATTAATGTAGAAGTACTATTCTTATAGCAGCTAGGCTGCATTACTGCCTTTTGTAACATATACTACTATTAATTTATATACTTTTTTAAAAAAAATTTACTTAGCTAGCTAACTTTTACTACTTACACTTTATTTTTAGCTTTAAAAGCTTTTAAAGCTTTTAGTTAAATTTTTTTTTTCTAATAGCACTACTAGCTAGTTAGCATTATCTACCCTAATTAAAAAGAGCTAGTTACGCAGTATTTTAACTTCTCTAGCTACTATTTTATAGGCTGTCTTTTTAACTACTTAAAGCTTACTTTTATCTCTATATATAACTTTAATTTAATTAGTGTTCCTTAAGTCTTTAACTACTACTATATATTACTATTTTATGTGCTTATAGTTTATTTATATTTTTTTTAATTACTTATTTAATTTTACTTAGTTTTACTTTCTTTTTATTTACTTTTTTAATTTTAAATATGTTAATTATGTAGTAAAGTGTATTTATTATTATTAAAAGTGCTATGTTAGTAAAAAGAGTCTATAGGTTACTAGGCTAGCTGCTTAGAGGCAATTATGCTATAGCAGCATAAGATAGTAATCTACTAGGCAGCGTATAAAATTTAGCTAGAAGAGTCTTAAATTTATCTACTATTACTTTATTTTTTACCTTTAGTGCCTTTACTTTTTAAGTAAGTGCTTTTATTATTATTTTAATTTAGGTTATATATTTTTTTTATTTACTTTATTATAGCTACTATTTTATTTTAGGTCTTTTTAAGTGCTATAAGTACTATAGCTAATAAGTCTTTTTTTTATCTTACTTTTACACTTTTTTTAGGTATACTTATTTTTTATTATATTTTATTTTTAGTTAGCTTTAAGTGTAAGTTAATTATAAAGCTCTAAAGGCTTTTTAGTTAACATTAATTACTTTATTTATTCTGCTTTTATTACTTAAGTTTCCCTATTGTCTCCTTATATTCTCTGCCTTAATTGCCTTGCGCGTCCTAACGCGTGTTTAGGTTGATTGCCGCCCCTGACGCGTGTCCTCCACCTCCAATTCCATCAATTCACGACTCCCCTGGGTCCCGCGCAGTCGTCTCGTCCTCTGGTACTTATCCCCGGTTCTCTAGGAGAGAGGTAGGGGGGGGGGTTTAGGGTTAGGTACCGGTACTTATGTTGATGAAAGTGTTCCTCGATGGCCCTTGAAAGCGGTCGTGCTCCGCCACTAAGCCACACGATACACAGAAGGCCATATGGTCAGTGCATTAAGCACGCTATCCTAACTCTCGGACTTTCAGCTAGGTTTAAGCCTCTTGGCTTCGAATCAGCCCCAATTAGCATCCCAATCGAGCTTCGGAGCTGTGGGAACAGATTGGTACTCTTGGCAGGCTATGTCCTCTCAGTATTTATCATGGATCCACCAGAATCTCCACTTCAAGCAGTTCCGTCGCGTCCATCCCTATTTCTGCACGCGTCCATTGCCGAGTCTCGTAGGGAACTTCATTGGTTGGCCTTTGTGCTTGCTCAAGGGCAGAATTTGATGGACCACTGTCAGGTCCTGTTGTTGTTCTCACTCTAAATAGGCAAGCGATAGTCAGGAAAAGTCTAGGCCCGGCAAGTAGAAAGGTTCTAACAACTGCTCCGATAACAATTCCATCTATTGTGCCTAGCGGCAAGCCCTTACCTCGTGCTGTACTAGTTGTGGCCGCAGCTAAAGTAGTAGTTAGAGTTGAACTCGTAGTAAATGAGGAACGGGAAGTCAGTGTACTGGCCGGTATCTCTCCAGAAGCCCGTTCCCGGCCTTCTATGCGGTAAACGTTCGTCCGGCATGATTGTGGTGCGCTAGAGTGAGATGATGCCTGGGTGCAGGATGAAGTTGACGCAGCCGACTAGTCCAATGTGTTATCCATGATCACGGCTTCAGTTGGCGTGGCGAGTAGGTTATCACAGGTATGAAAAGAAGTCTGGTACCAATAGGCTTGGGTAGTTATAGTCTGCCGTAAAAAATGGCAAATAGCGGCGGACCGTTGTTGACTTCAGATTATGTTCATACTTGTTGGGCAACAAAAAAAAATAATGGTTTCTCCATGCTCAGGTTTAGTGCGGTAAGGGTTCTCCAGCCTAGGGCAGCTTCTGGTGCACTCGGGGCACACCTTGGAAGAGTAACAACTCCTCATCCAAGCCCAAAGTACCATATATATATTGCCGAAATGAAGGAGATCGTCAGAAGAGGGCCAAGGTTGGTCAGGGAAGCCCTGGGCCATATGGCCAAGAACTTATCGGGGGTGATTGCAACGGCCGCCAATTTCAGGTTGGCCTCGACAAACCTCCTAATCGTGATATCTTCAAACGCACAAAAGAGAGGTCGATGAGATATCGAGCGCCGAGGAAAGTACTTCCATATATGTTAGCGGGCTTTCCGTAAGGGATTCTGTTTGCTTTCGAACCACCCGATGCTTTTAAAATTTGCTCTCCGCTGTGGCGGAGTTATAGAGTACATGGTACGGTCGAAAGAGAGAGAAGAGAACATGTAAGGCTAGTAGTGGTGCAGCGGAAGAGTGTTATATTGTTGTTGGAGCCACTAGGACAGCTATGGTAGACAAAGCGGTACAGGCACCAGTAGATAGTGGCTTGGCCTGGTTACAGAACCATTTAATGGGATCTTTGAGAGACGAAAATTCAACATGATAGAACTTAGGTACTAGCCGGGTATTGTCACGATACATCCGCAGACGAAACTTACAGTCGCTAGGCTGAGTGAGTGTATAGAGCAGGATGTTCACACCTGCCTAATTTGGTCGAACGCCGAGACTCAAATCACGTGTCGATAAGTTCTGATAACGGATGGACCTTGGAAGAAACCTCCTTAAGCCTCATCCGTCAATCCTCCAACACCGAGTCAAATTCTCTCCATTGTGAGGCGTCATGCCTCTATCAATATACTTTCTCTTTCGGGCTTCTGTCCTCCTGGCTATCGCAGCTGTCGCTTATCAAGTTGGCCTCCCTAACTTCTTCATCTTCAAAGTGATCCGACAGATCTTCTCTACCACTCATTGTTACATATCTGTCAAAACTCTATCATCGGGGTTACCCCATGCGGAATGCTTCACTGTATCTGGAGATGGCAGGTTTGGAAGAATTTTTCTCGATGAGACTTCGTATGATGTCGTGAAAGAGCGTCGGACAGGTCATGTGATTCCGGGCCTCTGGGATGGCCATGGGCATCTGCTTCAGTATGGCGAGTTGATGAACTCGGTCACTCTATTTGGAGCCAACTCGATGGAAGAGGTCAAAGAGAGGCTTGTCGACTACAAAGACAGTCACGAGGTAGCGGGAACGAACGAGCAGTGGTTGAGAGGCGTAGGTTGGGACCAAGCAAGCTTTGGGGGTAATTGGCCTGTCGCCGTAAGTTCTTCTCAAGTAACTTTCTTTTGACATTAGCCACAATCTTTTTGATGTCCTTCTCCTACCTGTCAAAGTGTTTATTTTCTCGTACTACCTGTTATTCCATTGAATTTTCCCCTCCACTCCCGACTTGGGTTATAAAATGAATAGGGTGGTCTAGCTCACGGCTATTGCTAATCGTTCAAAAGTCAGACCTAGAGATTGGTGGAAATTTCAAAGATTTATATGTAATGCTAGATCGCGTGGATGTGCACTGCATATGGGTCTCTGAAAAAGTTCTCTCTCTCCTGCCATCCCCGCTGCCGTACATATCTGGAGGGGAAATCCCCGCAAAGGGAGTCTTCTGTGATAATGCGATCGACATCGTCATGAAATACTACCCGAAGCCGAGTAAGGAGAGGAAGACTCAATTCATTAGAGATGCAATGTGGGATCTAAATAAGCTGGGGATCGTTGGTATACATGATGCTGGTGTACATGCCGATGAAGTCAAGCTCTACGAGGGGCTCGCTAACCAAAAATATTGGACAGTTCGGGTAAACGCAATGGTGGAATGTGAGGCGCGGAACACGTTCTGCCCAGGCAACATCTCTAAAATGAGTAGCAAAAACGGAATGTTGCATGTGCGCAGTGTCAAACTATTCGCTGGTGAGTAGTCGGGAGCTTCTATGTGCAACCATATGTTCACTAACCTCTAATAGATGGAGCCCTCGGAAGCTGGGGCAGTGCCATGATTGAACCCTATAGCGACCGCAAGGATTCATCCGGATCCCTCCTTATAAATACCACGACGCTCTCTAGGCTGACCAAGGAGTGGGCAACGGCAGGATATCAAGTAAATATTCACGCTATTGGGGATCTTGCAAACCGGCTAGCTATTGACGCTTTCACCTCGGCTCTAGATACACTTTGCCCAGAATCTACTCGCTGGGAATGCCAAGCTAGGCATCGATTCCGTATTGAACATGCACAAATCATTCACCCAGATGACCAGCGTCGGATTATAGAGATCGGTATCATCCCGTCCATCCAGCCAACACACGCGACATCTGATATGTCATATGCCGAGACAAGACTAGGCAAAGTCCGTACAACAGAAGAAGCCTATCGTATGCGGAGTCTAATATCTCTGAACCCCGTGCTTGGAAGCGACTTTCCTGTCGAGCCAGCGAACATCTTTGAAGGAATATATGCTGCAGTTACACGGCGGAGCCCTCGGACCGGTCTAGATGCGAATGGTGAGACAAACGGTTGGTATTCTGAGGAAAAGATCACTCTCAAAGAAGCTCTTGAAGGGTTCACAGTGAATCCGGCCTACGGGGCCTTTTTGGAAGGAAAAGCTGGTGTTATCGAGGAGGGGGCGTATGCGGATTGGATCGTGCTTGACGAGCCACTTGAAGGCTTGGACCTTGAAAGCCTGCGCAAAGTGACTGTACGAGAAACGTGGGTTAGCGGGAAGAGGGTGTACAAACGACCAGGGCCGGAGAATCTTCGTGGGCGGTAAAGGCTAGGAGTTAACGCTGCTTCCTATACCTTATGAATACTTTGTGGGCGGGAGATATTACCATCCAATGATAAGATGGCACACGAGATACCCACAGTTTTGGTGGTGTCGTTTTCATCTTGTGAAATTCTGGAACGGCAATCTGCCCGGATGAATGGGGCAGAGACGTGAGGCCATTTCGCTCTCTTGAGACTACATGCCCTTACCACAACCGTATATCTAAGCAACACTAGCAAAGCTTGTACGGTTTCATCCATTTACACGCTTCACTCGATATCCCGCTGTCCATCAAGGTGCTCAGCGAACGTGAACCAGCTAGGTATTGGTAATTTTTCACCCTGTCGGTTCTGTGGCATCGAAAACATTGCAAGCTTTACTTGACGAGAAAATTCTTCACTGCTTCCTCTTGTATTGCCGTTTACCCACCCTTCACCCTTTCTTCCTTTGATAGAGACCCACCATCCTGCCCTTCAACCTTAAATATATTGATGCCAGAGAAACGCGCACACAATCCCACACAACACTCAATATGGCTGGCTACCATCCTCATCGGCTCTCCTCTTTGGCAGACAGAGGGCGGGAATCGCCACTCGTTCTCCATGCCCAGAAGGCTCAATTACAATTCTCCGATACTCCCCCGAAAACCCCCAAAATAGAGTCTATATTGGCGCACGAATTAGTTCAGGAGATTGGAGACCTGTATATTTCTCTTAGTCGCCTGGCACTTACAAGTCTCGCTCCAAGTCCGGAGGTCAACTCGCTTCTCACGCGTCTGGTCGAGCTTTGCATTGAACCTCGAAGAGGAGAGGTCGTTAATCACGTATTTCAGCTCAAAGGCACATGGACTACGTTGTTCTGCAAGTTACGCTCACTCTGCGCAACCGCAGAGTGCGAATTAGAGAACCATTGGGCACAGCAGATTCTGAACTCGCGCCATGGCTCTTCTGGTAAGTAAACTTAGGAATTGGGCAACCAATCCCATCACTCTTGCTAACCGCACCAATATCAGCTTTGTCTTCTGAACCAAAGGCCCTCTTACACTCCTTCCCGTACTATCAAAATTACCTCGACCTCTCACGGTTGGAATGCTCAACGCTAGAAGGCTTCCTCCTAGCTCACCCTATCGACTCCCGGCCTTCACCGAGCAGAATCGCATTCATTGGCTCTGGGCCGTTACCTCTAACCTCCTTCTGCATGTTAAACCGCTACCCAAAAGCCTCGGTTCATAATATAGATCGAGATATTGATGCTTTGCGGGTGTCGTGGGAGCTGACGATGATGCTAGGGTATGGAGAGCGGATGACATTTGAGGGTAGGGATGTTAGTTCAGAAAAGAGCTGCGGGGAACTGGTGGAAGGACATGGGGAGATAGCAGATTGGAGTAAATTTGATGTCGTATTTCTTGCTGCACTTGTCGGTATGGATTCGCAGTCGAAGATTGAGATTCTCGCTTCACTAGGGAAGAAATTGTCACCGGGAACTCTAGTCATTGCAAGGAGCGCCCATGGCTTGCGAGAGGTGCTATATCCTGTAAGACCACCACCCCCCTGAACCAGCTCTGGACACGTCGTATGCCGAAAGGGAACTCACATGACCAACAGGCACTAGAGCTTTCGGAGGAGTTGCATAGAATCGGCTTCAAGATCCTCGTCGTTGTTCACCCCTGGACGAAGGTTGTCAACTCTGTCATTGTACTAAGAGTTAAGGGTACTTAGATTATAAACGATGCAGAATCAGTGTGGAAGCTTTTCTAGGAAAGTAAACTTAGAGATAAAGTACGTTAACAAGCAAGCTGTCCACCCCATCAACTCTCCACAACGCGTGAACTTTTAACTATTCTAACTCCACTAACTGTTAAGTCAGTACCTCACCTACTAGTACGGTTGCTCCTATGCTAGTGGCGGGAACTATGGTCAGAGGGAAGGGAGAAGGTTAAGAAGGGTGGAGGTAGTCTATACATGTCTACCCTCGACCGGGTAGCAGGATCGTCCTGGGTGATCAAGCCAGAGGATCCGTGTGGAACGGAGGGAGATTAGAAGGCAAAAAGAAAAAAAACATATTTACTTTAGTGCCAATATGAAAAAATAAGCAAAAAAGTGCTAGGCTCTGTAATATAAAAAGAAAATACTAAGTAGATCACTTTATCTAATCTATAACGTGTTCCATAGGTGAGCGCCGCAGCATCCCCACTAAAACGCCTGTGCAACAACATTGCATAACAGTATAACGTACCTCACAGGTGTGCCAGCCACTCTAGTAAAACCCTACTAAAACTACCTTAACATTACAATGCTTTAACAGCAATACTATTTAGAATCTTTAAAAAAGCTAGAGTACAGCTTCTGCTTTAGGCTGTTGAATAAAATGTAAGAATTACTTTATAATATGCTATAGCTTTTTACAACATCTTTTATACAACAGTAAGTAATTAATGCGCAAGACAGTCTTTACAAGTAGATTACACGCCTAGATTAAAAAAGCTAGATAAGACTAAAAAATATATAATAATTTACTATAGTTATACTTAACATAGCTATATAATATTTTTTTAACATATAGCTATTACTAATATAGCTAATTCTTTATATAATAAGTGTAATCTAAACTATGTTAGTATAAACAAGCCTATAGTGCCTTTGTAAATGTTTGTGTACACTTTTCTACAACTTTTAAATTGCTTTGTTTTTATATAAACTAGCATATAGGTAGAGTTTATATAAACTAAATACACGTTTTTTATTTTAATACTTTATCTACTAGCTTTAGACTTTAATAACAGCTTAGATTCTTTTAGGTCCGCTTTTAATAAGATTTTTAACTATAGCTTAGAGAATGTACCTTTAAGTGTTTTATATATAGCTAATAACTTTTTTATTAATTACTTTAAATTCTTAATTTTTAAGCTTTAAGTAAAGCTTAACAACTTTTTCACTTTAGAATTTACTAAAGATGTTTAATAGAGTTAGGGTTTAAGAAATATAAAAGCTAGTTAATTATTTTAACTTTATATAAAATAACGTACTTCACAGGCGAGTTGCTTACACACGTGAGTCGCTTACTTTTGCTAAGACTACACCCTAACAAACTCTATTATAGCCTATAACAACCTGCTCTAGCACTATATAGTATAGTACAGCCTAGAATATTATTTAGATACTACTTCTTGCTTACACATTTGCGCGTTATAACTAGTCTGATTACACTGTCTACAGCGCCTTTAAGATAGCTTACTTACTTTAGCTTACAGTTACTTCTTTTCTTTTTTCTTATTACTATACACTTTAAACTTTTTTATAATATTAATGTTTTTTTTTTACTTTAATTTACTTTTTTTTATATAATTTATATTAATGTACTTTACAAGCAAGTTGCTTACACACCTAAGTTGCTTACTTTTACTAAGACTCTACTAAACTACATTTTCTACACTAATGCATTTCTAACAACACTACTTAGACATGCTAAAAGAACATTATATATAGCTTACACTCTAAGATTTTAAATAAGATATAAAACTTTTAAAAAAACATGCTGCAGCTATATATAAAGTTCTATAAAAGATAATAAATAACTATAGCACTAGACAACTTTTATAATCTAATTTTACAGCTAAATTATAAAGGCTAGGTAATTAAAAAAAAGTAGGTAATTATTAAGATAATACTTAAGCTATATGCGTAAAAAATTTTCTCTTAAATAGTATTTATAGCTAATATAGCTAATTCTTTGCGCGCTAGGCATAATCTAGGCTATGTTAGCATAAACTAGCCTTATATGTTTATAAAGTGTTATTTAAAGCTTAAAGTAATATTTAAGTGTAAGTATAATTATAAAAAAGCCTTTTATAAAAGTTCTAAAGTAATTTAAAGTAAGTTTAGCCTTATAAAGAATATTAAAGCTAAGTATAGCATCTAGAATAATAACACATATAACTTTAGTAAAATAGGCTTTATAATTAGCTAAATATTTTTTAACTATACTTATACTTAAAACTTTACTTTAAGCTTTAAATAACACTTTATAAATATACTACGCTAGTTTATGTAAACATAGCCTAGATTATGCTTAGTGTGTAAAGAATTAGCTATATTAGCTATAAATGCTATTTAAGAGGAAATTCCTTACGCATATAGCTTAAGTATAGTCTTAATAATTACCTGCTTTTTTTTATTACCTAGCCTTTATAATTTAGCTATAGAATTAGCTTATAAAAGTTGTTTAGTGCTTATAGCTTGTTAAAAAGCTAGAATGCTAGTTAGTCTATATAAAAATAAACTAAATATTAACTACACTTTCTAAAAGTTAATCTTTTATAGTGTTATATATATAGCAACGCTTGTAGTTCTTGTAGTTTTTAGCCTTGCTAAGTCTTGCAGTCTTGCAGGCGTTTCCTTATTAGACAACGCATCTCTTAAATAGCTGCTCTCCCTAGTCTAGGTCTAGCTGCCCCGGTTCTTCCTATTCAAGCATAAAGGGTTTCCACACCTGATTGTTTAGGCAGTGGGGCTTGTCGCAGGGGTCCTGTCTAGTCTACGCGTGGACTGTAACATATAGTTAGTAAATATCTAGCTTCTTATAAAGTCTATTTTATTAAAGTTATATATGTTATTATTCTAGATACTATACTTAGCTTTAATATTCTTTATAAGGCTAAACTACTTTTAAATTACTTTAGAATTCTTATAAAAAGCTTTTTTATAGTTATACTTACACTTAAACGTTACTTTAGGCTTTAAATAACACTTTATAAACATACTAAACTAGTTTATGCTAACATAGCCTAGGTTATGCTTAGTGTGTAAATAATTAGCTATATTAGCTATAGCTGCTAGCTAAGAAGAAAAATTTTACACATATAGTTTAAGTATATGCTTAATAATTACCTGCTCTTTATTATTACCTAGCCTTTATAAGGTAGCTATAAAATTAGCTTATAAAAGTTATTTAACGCGTTAGTTATTTATTATTTTTTAAAAAACTCTATACATAGCTATAGTATGCTGCTCTAAGAGTGTTATGTTTTACTTAAAAGCTTAAAGTATAAGCTATATCTAATATTCTTTTAGCATGTTTAAGTAGTGTTGTTAGAAATGCATTAGTGTAAGAAGAGTAGTTTAGTAGAGTTCTAGTAAAAGTAAGCAACTTAGGTGTGTAAGCAACTTGTCTATAGAGTACGTTATAGAGTTTTTAATTTTAGGTGTGCATCTAGTAAAGTAGCTTGTAAAAGCTAAAAAAAAGGCTTAAAAAGTCTTTTACTATTAGTATAGTAAAAGTTAATTAAAACTAATAGTTTTTAATTAGGTTAGCTACTTAATTTATACTTTTAATTAAGTAATATAGTTATTATAAGCTTTAGTACTATAGTTTAACTTTAAATTTAGTAAGTTTTTAGCTTTAAGTTTATAGAAAAAAGTTTAACTATTAAGGTTAGTAGTTATTTAGCTTTAGTAGAAGCATTTTACCTTAGCTATAGGTAGAGTGTGTTGTAAACTTTATACTAAAGCTTAAAAGTGTTTAAAAGTTAGGTATTAGTAGTTATTTTTAATTTTAATAAGTTATTAGTAGTTTTTATATTTTTACTTTAGAACACTTTTTATAACCTTTCTAAAAGTAATTTTAATTATAGAAGATAAAAGGTTTTTAAATTTTTATTTATAATAACTAAATAATTTAATAGAATAGTATGTAAAAACTATAACTTAAACTTTATTAAATATATCTTAGGCTTAAACATAGTTAAATAACAAATTAATATAATATTATTAATAAAGTTGTTAACATACTTCACAGGCGAGTTGCTTACACACCTAAGTTGCTTACTTTTGCTAAGACCCCACCCTAACAAACTCTATTATAGCCTATAACAACCCGCTCTAGCACTATATAGTACAGTACAGCCTAGAATATTATTTAGATACTACTTCTGCTTCTTGCTTACATGTTTATGTGTTATGCTTAGTCTAATTGCACTGTCTATAGCGCCTTTAGAATAGCTTACTTACTTTAGCTTACACTTACTTTTTTACTTTCTTCTTATTACTGTGCGCCCTAAACTCTTTTAAAGCTGTTAAGTGTAAGCTTTTTTAAATTATTAAAGTTTTTTTTACTTTAATTTACTTTCTTTTATATAATTTATATTCTATAGTAGCCTTATTAGCTACTTAAAGCTTAGTAATTTCTTATTACACTAACACTAGCTTATGTGTAATTATTACTGCCCTTTTTAAAACCTTTTTAAACACTTTAACTATAAAAGTTAGTAAACTATTTATATGCTTTTAAATTTTTATTTTTATAAGTATTAATTATAACTTAAGTTTTAAAGTATTACTTAGAGTTTATAACTACTAGGGCTTATTATATATAAGTAGTAGTAGTAATAAAGTGCGTAACTTTATATTAAGGCTTATTATAACTTATTATAAGTTAAAAGGAACTAATCTAGTGCTTTAAAACTTTTTTTAAATATTACTAAAAGTAATTATAGCATTATAGGCTACTTTAAAGCATAGTAAGAACTTTATTTTTATAATATAAGTAATTTAGTTATGTATAAAGTTTTTAGCTTAGTGCTTATATACCTTTTTTAAAGAAGTAAAACAACTTACATTAAGTAGCTATAAAAGGTGTAATAAGTAAAAAAGTATATAAATAGTAATAATTTTATTATCTTGATAATATTATTAAAAATAAAGTAAGTTATAGCTCTTATAGCTATTAATAACTAGCAGATAGTAGCTGCTAACAGTACACTTCTTTATATGCGCGTTAAAGTGCTTTAACTAGTCTAAACTAAGCTAATTAGTAGTCTAGCTATATTTAAAGATTATAATAACTTAATTTTAAAGTAGATTTTTTTTCTTATACTAGTTTAAAAAGTAGTTACTACTTTAAAAAATAATAAAAAGCAGAATAGCTTACTTTTTAGCATTAATGCCCTAAATAGCTGTTATCTACTTCTAGTTACCTAGCTAGACTACTTTTAGCTATCCTTATCTCTCTAAACCTATAACAACTACTTTAGTAAATATTTAGCCTATTATAAACCTTATTTTATTAAAGTTGTATATGTTATTATTCTAAATACTATACTTAGCTTTAATATTCTTTATAAGGTTAAACTAGCTTTAAATTACTATAAAATTTTTATAAAAAGCTTTTTTATAGTTATAGTTATACTTAAACTTTACTTTAAGCTTTAAGTAACACTTAATAAATATATTACGCTAGTTTATGCTAACATAGCTTATATTATACTTAGTGTGTAAAGAATTAGCTATATTAGCTACAGCTACTAGCTAGGGGGGAAATCCTTACGCATCTAGCTTAAGTATGTGCTAAATAATTACCTGCTTTTTATTATTATCTAGCTTTTATAAGTTAGCTGTATAATTAGCTTAGAAAGGTTGTCTAGTGTGTTAGTTACTTATTATCTTTTAAAAGACTCTATAAATAGCTGTAGTATGTTACTTAGAAAGTATTATGTTTTATTTAAAAGCTTAAAGTGTAAGCTACATTTAATATTCCTTTAACATGTCTAAGTAGTGTTGTTAGGAATGCATTAGTGTAAAAAAAGTAGTGTAGTAGGGTCTTAGTAAAAGTAAGTAACTTAGGTGTGTAAGCAACTTGCCTGTGAAGTACGTTACTAGTAAAAGTAAGTTTTTTAATATAATATAACAGCATAGGTAAGATAATAGGTTTAAATATAGTTTAAATCTACTTAAAAGCATATAGAAGTATGTAAAAACTTAGTAACCTAGGAATATTATCAACACCTATAGGCCTTGTATAAAAGAATATTAGGAAACTACTTAGCTAGCTAAGAGAATAGGTGCAACTAAATACTTAGAGGAATAGAGGTATAGCAGAGAGCAGGGCAGAGTTAAAGCAGATACAAGGAACCTTTAGGTATAAGGTTCGCTAGGTAACTTTAAATAGAACAATTCAAGCGAATTCTTACATTAATTACCTTTCTAAGTATAGCAATATATCTAATATCTTTTCTAGCTAAAAGCATGTGAAGACTATTCTTCTACTTACAATAGAATAAACACATTAGTTATCTTACTCTCTTTTTACCTCCTGTCTCTTCTTACATTCCTCCTCCTTCTTCTATTAATACTCTGCGAGGATTGTATAGAGGACTGTACACACTCTAGGTACTGTTGTAAGTTGAAGCATCATATAACCTAGTAGTCACCACCTATACCTCTCTTCTTCTACTCCTCTTCTACTCTATAAAGAAACCTGTTACTTGTAGAAGGCGCCTAGCAATAGAAAAGTTAAGGTAAGATATTATAACATTAGTCTATGTTCTAAAAGTAATAGTAGTATTTATTAGAGTTGCTACTTTTTAGTAATAGTAATTACTTAGTAATTACTATAGAGGTACGTAGTAATTACTATTTCTATAAATAGATATTTTATAGAAAAAGATTTTAAGTAGTAAAAGTAATAATTATTATAATAGTATATAATAATTCTTATGTCTCTAGCAATATATAAAGCTTTTTTATTTAAAAAAAAACTATATAAGCTAAAAAAAACGTTAACAAGTAATTACTATAATGTAAACAACTATAATATATATAATAATAATATATAATAACGCTATATAATACTATTTAACATATATATTTACTTTACTAAAGTTATCCTACTTATTAATATTACTAACTTTATTTATATTATATTATAATTTTAGTTTAAGTAAAAAAATTATTGTTAAAAAGATATATATTTTATACTATATTTAGTTAGTAGATATGTTTATAATTGCTATTTCTATTCTTATAGTAAAAAGCAACTTTATTATAATTATACCTTACCTAGTAGTTCTAAAGGAAAACAAAAACAAAAAATAAATATAGAAGATAGAGAAGAGTTAGAAGAGTTAGAAAATAAAAGTACTACTAGCGTCTCTAGTTACAATA